GTTCGTTAGTACTACAAAGAAGGAAAAAAAAACTCACAATGAAGTCGTTAAACGAAGCTCCTGCGGACCCTAATCAGGTGAGTTTTGTACTGCCCAAAAGAAGGGTGCTAAAGTAGTGCTAGGGCCAATGCGGGTGAGCTTGTGCTAACCAAAAAGAGGGCTCCACAGTTAATTCAAAGCTTCACCGCGGGATACCTACTATAACAGCCCCATTTCCTTAATAAATAACACCTCTTTCTAAATTTGTTCAGTAAATTAATTTATTTCCACAAAACTTCTTTGAGTGGAGCAAGGTAAATAACACTTTTCGGCTGCTTGATTATTTTACCCAGTTCTATCACTTGTTATCCATAAGTAAAAACAAAATCACTCAAAATAATTTTTCTTATAAATAGATTGTGCACGGTCTATGTTTTGCTTTTAAGCTGTAAATGTATTTTATGCCAGAAACAGAAAGCAAGCATTGTACCTTTGATGTGTTGGTGACATATTTGGAATCTTGTATCTTAGGATTCATCAGAAATGTTGCTTAATAAGAACGGTACGCCTGCAGTTCAATAATAAGGTTGTCGACTGATAAGACTTGAGTTTAATTTATTGTCACGAAATAATTTTTATTGTTTTTTTTAAATTTAATCAAACATTAAGTTTAGTCATATTTTGAGCCCGTTTTATTATAGAAATGCCATTTTCAACTTTTTTCATATTATTTTTAATGATGTTAACGTTCTATTGGCTGAATTCCTGTTTCCTATTTTTTTTTTGTTCTATTCGCATTACAAGTGATCAAACACAGGTCCACACCCGCGAATCGGCAGAATTATAGTTTTGTAAGTTGACTTAATTGCAAGGTATTTAGCCTTAAAATACTAAGGACAGTGGCGTCGCAAGTGTCTGCGAGGTGAATGGGCTACTGGAGCTGGCGGAAGAAAGGGGGGGGGGGGGGGGGGGGGGGAGTGAAGGAGTATGTGGACATACCACCATTGGGAAAACGTCTCTGCTCCCAGCTCTGTCTCTGCGTGAAACAAAAAAAAAAAAAAAAAAAAAGAAAAAAACTAACGCGCGTTGCGTAGGTTGGTAATGTCCAGAATTCATTCTAGGCTGTATTTACTGAAAGTATAAAATCGTTCCACCGACCCTTTCAGCAAGATTTTTTCCTAAAGATATTTTTCCGTCGCTTTGAGAAGCTAGCACGCCGCTAAAAGTTTTATAAAATTGTGTGATTTTGTGACATACCGGGTTGGATTGAGAACTTGAAACCTGGCTTTCCTCCCGCATAAAGAAAGCACGCATCGCAGAAAGCTGAAAATCCGTGAGAAAGTGACGCTAGCGGGGGTGATAAAATGTGAAAATATGAGCCCATGGCGTTACGTGAATCAAAAGGTACAAATAAAAACAAATTTCTTTACCAGACGACGTCCACTTTAGCCTAAATTGTTTGTTTGATGAATATTAGGCTTAGGTGACCGTCGGCACATAATTCTTGCTTTTCTTCTGCATCTTTTGATAAGTAACGTCATATGCTCAAACCTCCGTTTTTTTTTTTTTTCTTTCACCACTGCTGTAGCGTCATATTCTCACGGAGTTTCATCTTTCTGCGGTGCATGTTTTTTTGTTTTGTTTTTTTGCGATCTAAGAAAGCAGGTTTTAATTTCCCGACCCATGCCGGTATATTTGCGCGTGCAAATAAAATGACAAAACCGAAATTAACTTTCTGTTTTCCCCCTTTTCACCCCATTGAGAAGGAGAAGTGACGTAAACAGTGACATATGTCTGTTGCAGTCAGGGGCGTAAGGGGGGGGGGATTATGGGGCTTCAGCCCCCCCCCCCCCCACCCCCCCCCCGAAATCCAGCCAACCCTATAATATGCACATGCATCTTGACCCCCCTCCCCCTCTCCTCCGCACCCCACGTCATGGGCATCCCAGCCACCTCCAGCCACACCCCCCCCGAAAGAAATTCCTGGCTACACCACTGGTTTCGGTACCCTTTAGCAGTCACTGAGCGTGGTTAACATAGTGAACTGTTAGCGCCAAGCCGTTTGGGTGGCGCCCTCTTGTGGTGACTATCCGGGATGTCAAGACCAGGATTTGCCTCGCCGTCACGCCACGAGTCGTAATCCTGGTTACTTATCCAGAGTTGTGAACTGGAAGCTTGGAGTCCTCGCATTCCTAAACCAACACGGCCAAAGTCGGAAGTCTTACATTACGCTTATTTCCGTCGATGAAAGTAAGATTAATTTCAAATAAAACGTCACTGTAAGTGATTGGCCAATAGTGGAATGCGATTGGCCAAAATCTGCGAGTTGAAAATTCATCATCAGCGTTTGTGGTTCCATCTGACCAAAGTCAACGAAACCACCTCCCCTCTGTGTCCGGAATGATCACCTCAATAAAAAATGGAGGCAGCTCCCCTTCCTGATCCCCATGTCCCAACTTACCAACCACACCAGCACCAGAGGTATATGCAAAAGTGGAATAAAGACGCGTTTTCAATTAACCAATCCGCTGCTTCAGTGATGAAAGGACTAAAACACGTGTGTACGTACACTTGTATTTTCTAGCACTTCCGAGGGGGGGCTATAGTCCACGAACACCGGCGATGCCGACTGGTTATGATGTCCCTACGCGATTGAACCGGAGCTTGAAAGTGTTCGTATCCAATGTGAAAACCTCCAGGACCTCCAGACGACGAAGGAAGTTCGCGAAAGCTGACGGGGTACTAAAGATAGAACACAGCCTGAACCTCTCCGTCACCCTTGAGGACGTTACTGTGATGTGACTCGGAAGGCGGACTAAACGTTAATATATACCACAAACGTCAATTAAATATATATATATATATATATAAATAGACACTATAGCGCACGCAAACAAAAATGATTTCCACTTCTTCATTCCAGATATGACAAACTCCTACACGTACCGGGCCGAACGCAAAAGCTCGTTGCACTGGCCCTTTAGCCAGTGTCCATCGGCGACGTGGAAAACGTTCACGCTCATATCGCGAAATGTAGATCGTTATCATTTTTTTCCGTAAAAATGAATGATGTCTTCCATATTGCTCTCGGTCGGCAAACAATACACATCATTTGCCTGCCGGTCAAACACTCAAATAAATATTCCACTCCCCACGCAACATTACATAACCCAACCAAGATTAATAAGAAACAAGGAAAAAAAGAAAGGCATTTCTGTCTCCTCTATCTTGGGGGTTTCCGGAAGAAGCCGGTCCACAGCTACTGCCAGCCCGAACTTCAAAACGAGACCTGACTGCAATGTCACGCGGCGAAGCGAAAAACTCAACGCAACACGTGAGGCAGAGTAAACGGACAGCTCCGTGCCACTTGGCGCAGGACGTGAAGCCGGTCATTCTCGAACGCAGCAACCGCGTGGAATGTCAAGTTCACCCGTGCTCCTCGCCGGATGTTCTTCAAGTGGACCTGGTGACGAAGGCTGGCGCTCTTTCTGGGTGGTCGAAAGCTGGCCGCCTCTCGCGCGGGCGAATGGCCGCTCTTTCATATTTTGCCAGCGAGGGCGGGACTATCACGACCGCGGTATCATCGGGGACGCCGCCAGAGCGGGGAAACCATTAGACACCGCAGTCCGGCTCCTTCCCTGCTGCACCGCTTCCTTCCACGTCGATTTCTGCTCGGGGTTAAACGCCAGTTCACCCTCGTGGAATCTAATAAACTTCAATGGACGAACAAGCCGGCCTGTTCCGGAGGGCGATAACTGCGGTTGTGATCCGGGTACCCCACAAAACGTGCCGGCGTTCTTTTGAATGGAGCTGTAGCGTGGCACAGGCTACGCGCCGTCTCAGCGTGAGATGGAGAAGAGGAAACCGGCAGGAAGCAGGTGTAGCCGTGATTGGGCTACGAGCGGCAGCCTAATCCGTTTGCTGGCTTTTCTACCGGACTCCGAAGAAGCATAAAACAGCCTTTTTTTTTTGTTTGCTTTGTTTTGACACTGCGTTTTTTTTATTTTTTTTTAATATATATTTTGTCGAAGTGTAACTAAGGAGGCGACCACGCACGAGTCCAGGCACCGCTCATAAACGCCTACGTACCTTGGCGCAGTAGTATGTTCCCACTATCCGCAGTGAAGACGGATTTGTTTTTTGCCTTATAGTCTTCACCAACTTTGGACCTTCCCCGAACTCAATATATGCAATCAGAAAACCAAGAAATACGAACTG